CGCCACTGTGCCACTGTGCCACTGCGCAGCAGCCTTGCAAGGTCCAAGGCTGCCGAGCTTGGAGCCCGTTGAGAAGTCCGCGCTCCAAGCTAGGACCTGGAGGCGCTGTGGCGCTGTGCCGTGTGCTGTGTGGATACGTAGATGTGCTCCCATCCGTTGAAAGGCACAGGCTCCACTTGGATGGGCTCAGAGCCACCAGGAACAGCAGGGACGCTCTCGAGCGCACACAGCGCCTCAGACAGGACGGAGGCAGAGGCGCTGGAATGCACAATGCGTAGAACTGTTTCTCACAACGTGGAGATGTCATGAGATGTATCATGTTTTGCGGGCTTGCTGCTTGTCCACACTTGTTCAGTCGTAGTCGCTAAGGGCAGACGACAAACACCAGCAGGTTAATGCTGGGACAATGCCCATCATCGATCTTTGCGACGTTGAACTGCACCTTGTATTGTTCGTCGAGACTTCTTCACAGCGCACTCAGTCAGCCTCCGGAGATTCTGAGCATTCGCCAAACTCCGATCTTCGCGATGCCGCAGTTTCTCAGGATTGCATCTTCAAGTCAGACGCGGAAGGCGAGCAAGAAAAGATACTAAGCAGTAACTAAAGCTTACGAGACAAACGTGGCACAGCCCCCCCCCTCGCAATTCCAGCAAGATTTTGTGAATGCTGGATGCCTGCTGTCAGCAAGACATCCGGAACTCCAAAATGAATCAGAATCACTCACTGTGGTGTTCTTCAGGGACCTTTGTCTTCATTCTGTGACCCAACACAAGCCTGCTCGACCTCATGACAACAGAGCATGTAAGCATACGTGTTGTCACTTCGTATAATTGTCAATCATGAGTCGATGGAGGGTGTCTTCTCAAGCAACAACCTGTTTTGTTTTGGTTTGGCTGTAGGCTGCTGTAGGTCTCTGACCAAAGGTCCAGCTCTGCTGGGAGTGGTGGAAATGACACTTGCGTAGCTTGAGAGCCGAGAATATCAATGCAATTACAACACCTGCAACGTGGACATTACAAGCTTGTGAGGATCATGAATGCTGCCAGCACCGCCGACAACAACGACGCAAGCAATCATGGGGAGAATCATAGCAAGGGAGGCTGTGACCACAGAGCAGCTTGCCAGGCACCAGCAATGAGAAGAGCTAGGAAATCTCATCTTCAAAATGTTTATTGGCCAACAGCCAGTCGCTTTGTTCGAAATGAACAGATTTCTGCAGGAGACGCAGCAGAGGACAGCTACTCCAGGCGCCGACTCCTGCGGGGGAGAAGATGGAAACGAAATGGTCCACGAAGACAAGGACAGTGACGTGCATCCAACAGCGCCTTGTCCACGGAGTTTTTTGATGGGTGGTCTGATCTCTGTGCTGAATTTGCCGAATGAAAACGATGCATGGTGGCCTCTGCTCCACTTCTGGCTTGACGCCTTGACGCGGGGACCCCAGGGGCCAAGGCCACTACGTGCCTCGCTGCTGTGCACAGCGAGGCGTTTCTGCAGGCACCACTTTGATGCGATCCGATTGGTGCACACGATTCACAGGCTGCCTCCTTTTCGGGCGCCATTGTTGGTATACATCCCAAAGTTGTCGGAGGAGGATGTCAAACAATCCAAGATCGGCAGGGTGGTCTGTCACAATGCAAAGAGTCGACCTACCGCCGGAACATGATGCGTGGCCTCCCGCAGACGGTCTTGGTCCGGTTAGGTGGCAGCATCGGCGCCAGTACCCCCTTTTCTGGAGAAGCAAAGCATCATTACCTGGGGAAGCATCTTCGCTGACCTTCGGCACTCTCACTGTGGCCAAGACGTGCGCAGACCTGGAGCCCCGATATTTGCCTCCTTCCATTATGCTGTGCGAGATACCACAACCAGCACTGGGTAAGTGCCCCTCCGGAGAAGAATGCCATCTTCCAAGCTCCAGAGCCATAACCCAAATATTCCGCCTCAGGAAGGAGTCCTGCCGGTCATGCGGAGGGATGGGAAACAATATAGTCTCAGCAACGCAAGGGTGATAGCGACGGGTGTATAAAACGATATGGCAAATGCCCAAAAACGATGACACCTTTTTTGAGTACTAGGGACTAAACTTGTACGACGATTTATTGCAAATTCAGCCGGCTCGTGGGAACGTGGATTCCAGTACCTAACTTGTAATACGATTTATTGGAAATCCAGCCGGCTCATGGGAATGTCAATTCCAGTAAACTTGAACTACGATTTAATCAAAATCCAGCGGGCTCATGGGAATGTCGATTCCAGTACTAAATTTGTACTGCGATTTATTGAAAATCCAGCCAGCTCATCTGAACGTCGATTCGGCTTGCTTGGTTGCGCATGCATTCTTCGAAGTACGTTTGCCCTCAGAAACGATGTAACGAATGTTCAAAAACGACCCCAATTACAGAGGCCCGCTTGTCAAGAAAGACTATTGCAGATTGAACATGTGCTGATGGATCCATTTGGAAGGACAGTCAAGGGGTTTGGCGCAACGCGGCGCGGATTTCAAGTATAAGTGCACCACTGTCCAGACTGTCCAGACAGTGATGGAACAGATGCATCCGCGCAGAATGTGGGGCCAAGTACGGGATTCAGCGAGAACAGAAACCCCAGAGGGCCCTTGCTCCGAGCACCAATCCCCATCCCAGGGAGCCCTCCAGTGCGTACGAGCCTCCCCTGCTAAGCTCTCCAACAATCAGTTTGAGTCAGCTTCGGCATCGACACTTTTAAAGATTTTGAAGCTGGAGTTGCAAGGTGTCATTTTCAGCCCTTAAAGATCCTCGAAAATCACGACGTCCATGAAGGACGCGGAGCAGTGTGCGGAGGGCACAAGACCAAGCGTTGTTTGAAGAACGTCGGAAGGAAAAATACCTCAAACCACAAAGAGCTCCTGGTCGCGTCTCGTTCCAATTCCAGTGGAGGCCAAGTAATTCCGAGAGACACGTGCCAAGGCGGAGGAAGGTACGGTTTGCCGAGAGAGCTGTAACCTCTGATTCAAGGCTTACAAGGTGGCGATTTTGTGGCAGGTTTGGCAGAGCTGCGGCTCCAGGACTAAGTAGCTTTCGAGTACGGCCGTTGCACTGGCGGCTCTTGGGCGATGGCGCAAAGGAGAAGCCGACTATGACGTCTTGACTATGAATGGACAGACTAGTCAAGAATAACAAGCGCGCAAAATGCAACTGCATGTCAAGCCTGAATCCAGAGTCCTGGTGAGGCGGCTTAAGAATAACTGGCAGGCCGAGCAGGAACATCCGTACTGAAGCCTATCTTGGCTGCATATCCTGAACCCACCGAGGGCTGATGCAGGAGAGTTGCAGGAGTAGACTAGTCACTTTGAATTGGCGCCACAGCCATAGGGCTATGCAGTTTTCCCCAGAAGCAAGTTACACTGCTTGGTACGACCTGGCAAGAAATCAGTGAGGCTGCCAAGAGACACTCTTGCACAGACCTTTGCCATGTATTCCGATCTTGTTAAGCCGAAAGATGCCAGGCCTTGTCTCCACGTACAGGGGGCATTCAAGGCGAGAGCGCAGCCATCGAACACCAGAAAGTGGAGATGACCTCAAGATGACTTTGCGACAGCTGGCTCGCGAGGTTATCGCTCCAGAGCTCGTCGCGTACTGGTCTTCCCTACCAAGCAAGAGGACGGTACAATAACACGTCTTGTGATGGCTTGCCTGATTAGTGAGCAGAGGATTTGGATGGCCCAGATGGATCGCAGTTTGAGCGGCAAGTGAAGTTCGATGCTGCATGCTCGGAAGATGTTTGGCTGTGCTTTTGTGTAGGCTCTTGAAATCTGGTGACATAGACGACATCCCAACAGCAACAGGTCTAGTTGTATACAGCCATCTGCACAGAAGCTTGCGTGCTTTTGAGGCTCCACACAGCCTGAGACACGGCAAGCTGCCCAAAGAAGGTCTGGGCCATCTTGCATAAGCATTTCACGACTCGCGTTTCCAGTTACAACAGTGCCTGGAATGCAGCAGGCAAGCGCAAAGTGCAATGGCTCCCTCCGCTGCGCCAAATTGTAGCACCCCAGTCCAGTTGCAGCCCTGGTGATTTGAAGATGTGTGGAGCGGGGTTTTGTGCTTTGGCTTTTGAGGCTTCACACAAATAGGATTTGACTGAGGTGTGCTGCCAGAGGCACGACGTGGCCGGCAACCCCCTGAGCTCGAGGCACTTGCACCTGAGCAGCGTGTGTGGCCCCCTTAAAGCAAGTTTGCTCTGAGGCTGATGCCTAGTGCCCTTTGTGCATCTTCTTTTGATGAGTACCGGCAAATGATGTGGTCGAGGAGTACTGAATCTGCGCCTTACTTCAGCTGAATCAGCTGGTGATGGATCTGTTGTGTGTTTGCGTACTGTATGGATAAGTTTGACTCCGCGCCAGCTGCGGTGATGAGTTCCTTCATTAAGCACGGGATCCTGAAAGGGCTCTGAATGCGAGCTCTGCTGTGAGCTGGGCCAACATGGCTCGGCTATGAGGTCAGCAGGTTTTCTGCATGGCAAACGGAAGACTTAGTCCATTTGGAATTCATGGCTGCAACTGCACGCTAAAAGCTGTCCTTGACCACACGGCGCGGGACAATGGCAGCTTAGGAGTCCTAACACCAACTTACCTTTTTGTGTAGTATTGTCCAGTCAACTTGCTATACACCTGTTTTCTTCGGGACTTTGTTCAGACATATGTGTTATCCGAGCCCACAGCCAGAAGTGCCATTGATTCACACGTAGACGCGGTTCTCTTGCCATCCACAGCGGAGAGCGGGACGCAATGGTGGACGTGAAGGCCAAGCACAGAGTCTTAAACACCCGTGTAGACTGCGTGAAGTGGTTGTGTCTCAGGTCAAGATCAAGGATGGCTGCCGGGGTGGACGTGAACAGTTCCAATGGAACTCCATCAAAGAGCAGGAGTACAAGGAGATTCTGACCTTTTTTTTTTGTTGGCCTTTTACCCGCCTACAGTACTACATTCTGTCTAGGACCGCGAATCCTACCTCGGCCAGTCCATGAAGGCCGTGCACTGGGTGTTGGGATTTGGGCACTGCCCTGCAAGTTTGTCACGTCTGTGCAATTTTCGGCGGAAAATGGCAAACTTGCAACTTGGTCTGCTGCATGTTTCGCTTGGTCGAAGCTCAGGTGGGTCAGATGGGCAAGTTCGGCAAATACTACATGCACGATTGGTATGCCAGAAAACGAGACACAACAGTCTCGCGACTTACACTGTTGCATCAACCTGCATTTAGAGACCCGGCATGTTGCCGTGCTGAGGCGAGCATTGCTGAAGAGCGCGGTGCTGTCCAAGTGGGTGTCTTGTGGTTTGACACTTCTCACCATTAGAACGCGGAATGGCAAAGCTAGGCTTACGAGGAGGAGCTCATGCAAGAGGCCCGGCTGCTGTTGAAAACTGAGTGCAGGCCTGGACTCAATAGCATGCATACTGCCGAAGGCTTTAGGGCTGAAACCCAAGAAGCTTCTCCTCGCCAAGAAACAGATGAACGAGGCCGTAAGCCTTCTGAGAAGATCTCCTTTTTGCTGATGTTCTCGTCTCAGGAGGAGCTGAAGGACACGCTGCTCGTTTCGCTCGAAATCGTTCCAGATATGAATTCTTTCTTTACGTGCAAGGTCTCCTGCTTACGCAAGAGAAAGCCAGCTGATTGAGATCACAAAACGCATGAGGTTTGCCCAGCTAATCCATCCAAAGCCCTTGGCATGCAGCCCCAGCAAATAACGGTACGGATCAGCATCAGATGCGCTCACCTGGTCAGTGGCTTTGGAGGAGGTACATTATGACAAGCTCAAGCAATGCAGCCCAAGGTGTAAGGAATGTGTAGGAGCAAGGAAGCACATGCTGCACAGAATCTTGGTGTCCTGCACAGTGCTCGGGTCATGGCTGCGTGCACTGCTGGTTTGCACACACGGCGCGCTTGTGCACCCTGTATCATCCTGTCAATCCAAATGTGGGGAGACTTCGGGCCTTGGAGGAGGTAGCAAAGGGTGTTCGAAAGGGGCTTTCAACACGGCCAGCCGGCTGAGCCGGCTGGTTTCATCTTTTTTTCTCTTGCATGTAGTTGGTGACGGTGATCGCTGCGAAGCTGTAGTGGCCCGTTGGATCTTGGAAATCCAGGCATTTTCACGTGTTCATCGAAGCTCAGAAGTCGTTGCGCTCCATTTCTGCTGAAGACTCCGGCTCACAGCTAGATGCTGTGCTCGTGCGAGAGAGCAATGTGCCATTGATTACCTTGGCCATTTGCGGCAGAACCATCGATGGAACGCATGGGATGCTGAGTGCACACCAGTGAGACCAGTCCTCCGTGTCAGCTCCTAGTGATCGCCGCCCTGCAGGCGACACCCTCAAGCAACAAGATGAAACGACAAACGTGCCGACGGGCCATTATCATCTCGCTGCTTGGCATCGTGTGGCTTGACCTCTCGCAACCTGCCAACCTGACAACATCTCCTGAGCGGCCTTCCCGAGCGCCACAGCGGCTGCATAAGCAAATACTCAGCCTAGCTACACAGAAGATGCAGAAGGAGCAGGCACGTCTTCGGAAGGAACGAGCTCTCTCGACTGTGGCATCTGTCGCTAAGCGTCGTTGGTCCAAGTACAAGCTACTCGTCCTTCCCTTCGGTTCCTCTGTAACAGGATTCGGCGAAGACAGCTCAGATGTGGATGTTGCATTGATGTTTCCTGAGGGGAGGCCTGCGTCTCCACACACGGTCCTGCGAAGTCTGAGAAAGAGTTTTGGTCTTTGTAGACAGACAAAGGTCATCCAGGCGTTATTGCGGCAGGATATCAAGATGCCATTGCTTTGTTTGGAAATTAAGGGCGTGCGCTTTGATCTAAGCTGCCAGAATTGTTTGCCGGTGTTCAACACAGCGATGCTCCGAAGCTACGCCGATCTCATGCCAGAAATGACCGCGCTTGCGCTGGTCATCAAGCGATGGGCAAAGACCAGCAAGATTGGACAAGTGCAGCAAGGAGCGCTCTCATCTTACACTTGGACATTGATGACAGTGCCTCGGCTGATCTCAGATAATTGATTACATCATTTGGCTGCTTGGGGCAAAGGTTCTGCTAGCAGCGCGGCACTTCGGTGGCAAATCTCTCGGTAGACGCTTCTTTCACCTTGTTTTTTCCTAGTCCAGCGATGCGCCTGCACCTCAGGGTCTAGGAAGCTACGGGGTGATGCAGCAGTCTGCAGTATGAACACCGGGGACAGAACAGCTCTGCTGTTGCTGACCCAGCATGACGCAGCCTGTTCAGTGGAAGGAAGCCGTATGGGTACAGCTTTGTGCAACTAATTATAGCCTGCCCAGAGCTTTGAATCAGCCCTCGGCAGATTTTCGGATGCGTAAGGTGTACTTTCTCCAAGTTTGCCATGGCTTGCCGTCCTTGCACTCGTTGTCACGTTTCGGACGCGAGTTACACGAGACTGCGCAAGGGAAGACGTTTGCCTTCGGCTTTGCGAAATCTTGCAACGATCGCCATGAGGTGCAAACGTCTTTGGGAGATCTGCTGCAAGGTTTTTTTGAGCTGCCTGACCTGGAAACCAGCAATCTGCTTTCCTGTTCGTTTTAAACTCTTTGCCAGCATGGTACTTGTACCTGTCACAACAGGTTCTACTCCTCAAACTTCGATTGGCGCAATGAGGTGGTGTCAGTGAGATTGGGCAGACGCCTGACCTGCAAGGATACCGAGTTCTTAAGGCTGCCAAGAAAGCAGCTCAAGGGCTTTAAGGAGATACTGAAGGTTGAAGATCCCATCGAGATCAGCCGCAATCTCAATTTTGCTTTAAGCCAAAAATGGTCTGAGCGGATTCATGAAGCTCTGGCATCTGCAGCAAAGAGACTGAAGAACGGAGCGACCCTTGGGGATCTGATAGGTTTAGACGCAGATGAAAGGGCACTTTGCAACTGTACCACTGAAATGGCTGGCGGGCGCAGCATCAATAACGATCTCCTGCGTCACCGCCTGCGGATGGCCCGTGGAGCGAATGCAATCCTCCATTCTGGCATGAGAGACCGAAGTGTGGGCTGCTTGGAGTGCTTCCGCTGGCTGCCTAACATCACGGCGCTGCATCAACACCACAAAGACACAAATCATACGGGCATGCTGCAAAGACTGTAACCGGCCATGACGAGAGGTGGTTTGGATAAAGGTGCAACCTCGTTGAACCTTGCCTGTTCTGAGCTGCACGGTCAGAGGCTCAGGAATTTGCCGGAACAGACAACGCCATGATGCTGAAGCAAAACCTCATGTGCTTGAAGCTGTCTTTGTACAGATGGCCCACTCCAACACGTGTCCTAAACAGGCGAGAGAGAGCTTCGCAAGCAAGAGCCTATGCTGGGGTTATGTCGGTGTGGGCAGCGGATGGCAAGTAAAGACCGGAACAGGAGTTCTTGAAGTCGAAGAAGGAGGACACTGGCCGTGAGGCCGTTGGCTCAGTTTTGCTCAATGCGCCAAAATACGTGAAGTCTAGCCATATCCTGGAATTTTGCCAGTGGTTCTGGATTGGAGGTGCTTAGAGTCCATAGGGCAACTAGAAAAGCATTCAGATTGGCGAAACAGCTTGCGACCAGCAAGGCTATGGGCCCGCAGAAGAAGGTCTTGAGGAATGAGCTGGGCGAAGAGGCACGGGCACGGCAGGAGAGAGGCTGGGAGTCAAGCATCCTGAGCAAATAGTGCAGGTTGTTACCAGCAATGAAGACATGATAGCAGAAGCTGTACGCGACGGCACCTTGAAAGGCCTAGGGTGGAAACCTGAGGTCTTTGCGAAGTCACAGCTTTCACTAGAAAGACTTTGCGAATTCTTCTGGGTGCATGGTGGACAAGCCGCTGAGGTTTGCATCACATCGTGATGCCAAGCTGGAGAGAATAAAAGCCCAAACTATGGGAACGGCACCGCTCTGCTAGATTTATCAGCCTTTCGAGCAGCAGTCTGAATGACATTTCCCCTCCTGTCTGAGAAGCATGCCAGGAAAGCGAGCTGAAGGGTCTGAAGGAATTGCCCAAGGCGCTGATGTGTCCCGGAACGTAAGCCAAGCAGAGCCTTCACAGCAGCGCGCCATTTCGCCAAGTGTCGATCTATGGATAGGAAGTGCCTGCAAACAACAACAGCTCAAGTCAAACGTGGCTGCAAACTTGTGGCGTTCTACAAGCAAAGCTGTCGCGTAGGAGTTGTAGAAACAAGCAGTGCCCACAAACATGCTTTGTCTGGATCCCCAGCAGGGCGTATCACGCATCAGACACATCTCAAAATCTAAAGGTGCACGTCTTGCAATACCAGAAAAAACAGGGGTCTCAAGGCAACAGCCCACCCTGCTGAATACCCTCAAGTAAAAAGTGGGCCCAAGAACCCCGCGACAGAGTAAGCCGTCGGCCTGCGTGGCCTCGGGCCAGCATGTGCGGTCACGCGCCTGCATGCGCCAAAAGCATTCTGTTTCGGTGTTGGTTTTAAGTGTTTCCGCGCTATTTGGGAGACTTTGTTTGCTCTACCAGGATGGCAGCGCACGAGTGGTTGTGCACTGCTTGTGCTTCAGCGGTTACGCCAGTTAAGCTCTTATGCTGCAAGCTGCCGCCCACCAATCCCGAGGCAATGATGATTTTTTACAGCACCGATTGCAGTTTGCTGCTTTGCCTGGTTCACGAAGATGATGTTGAAATAGCTGCCACGTAGATTTGCGTAGATGCTAAGCGCAAACGTGATGTCGTTCAGGTGCCGCTCAAGGGTGAAGTAATGAAAGTGGAAGTGAAGGCGGAGGCACGGGCCACGGCACAGGCATGCACAGGCAGTACTGCTATTTCCTGTTTCTAGTTGTTTGCTGGGTGGGCAGCAGGCAAGTTGATGATTTGAGCTCCCTATGACTATGACTGCAATGCAGGGCACCGTCAAGTCAAGGGGGGTAAATTCGTGGCTTTACCTGTTTTGCGGGTTCCATTTATTGCAGACCACTCTCTCTCTCTCTCTCTTTTCATTTTTACGCTCACCTCTACTTTTGCAGCTGCGAAAAGGCATGCGCTCCGTTGTGTGCCGCTGCAACCATGCTTGAGATACTGTAATTCGTCTTCGGTGCACGCTTCTTGCAAAGCGGAATATACATATCCGAGGGCAATGCTGTTCGAATCATGTGTGAGGTCCCTAGCCCGCCTCGAAAATGGATTGCCAGCTTGAGGCATCCGGGTGGGCACCTGAATTGTGGACCTACTTGGCAGGCGTGACAGATGCGGAGCTATGCGAGTTGCGTCCCTGGTGTTCTACGCTGAAACATGAGGACTTCAGCGATCTTCCTTCTTTACTGACCAGAGCAGCATCCAAGGCTGCGGCTCTGAATCGCCTGGATGCCGTGAAGCCCTCGCGTACTTATGTAGATCGTCATTGGAAACGACTGTTAGATCCGCATATCCCCATTCCATGTGAAGATCCTTACAAAGAGGTTTCAGAACGGCTGAGGAGAGCAAGTTGGGGGACACATTCCAAACGCGGGGAAGAGCTGGCAGACAGGGAGCATGCAAGGGAGAAGCTTCTGTCGGCAGAGCGCCAAAAGTTGGCAAACGAGCTGGGAAGACATGTCAAAGAGTGCAGCTCCATGTTTGGCACATGCACAGCCAAGTATGCAAGGGTTGTGCAACGATGTGCAATGGGCCGACGTGCAAGCACTCTCTGGGCGCATCTTCGTCGGATCCGAGCCATCCGCCTCTCTGTACGCTTACGCTTTTCCAGTTTCGGGTTCCGGAGCGTGGCTGATTTGTTGTATTACGTGTCACAGAGGGTGGCTGAGCCATGTGGGAAAACGGTTCCCAAAACTATTCTGAACACTGTGGCCTTCTTTGAGCAAACTTGCGGAGAAGTCCCTGCAGGAAGCCGCCTATCAAAGGATCCCGCAGTGCAGAACTTCTTCGAAGAGCTGCAGGTCCATGGAGACTGGAAAACAGTACCTACCAGCGAAGCAAATCGCTACCTGGTTGTCATTGCAGTGAGCTGGGAGAAGCTTGTGCTCGATCGAAATGCGAAGGCGTATGTTCGCGTGTACACCTGCTTCAAGCTGGTACGCCTTTGGTCGGCGATGAGATGGGCAACACTTTGGGTGCTGTGCCGCACACCTTCAAGTACACTCGTGGGCGAGGCCTCAAGGGAGAGATCCACCAGTTTAAGATTTCAGGTCGAGGGATAAAGGTGCAAGTCCTGGAGTTCTGTGTCTCAGAGGATGCTTGGTTTGAGAACAATGGCTGGCTGCATGTAGGCTACACCTTGTTCAGGCGGGGGGCGGTGAGGAGGCAGGCCTCACGAGGCGAGACTTCTGCCCCCCAACAGCACATCGCTGGCTGGACGGTTTCACGTTCAAGCGGTCGCTATGACTAATGCGTTCCTGCGCGACTTGCTGGTGGAAGCTCCTGTGGGGACCGGAGATGAGTGGAGCGGTCAGTGAGTGCACCGCAGTGATCTGGGCCGGGCAGAGAGGGCTGGCGTGGTAAAAAACACATCGGCGCTGGGGAAGATGGCGAGCAACAGTCGATGAAGATTATGTGCGCGCAGCCCGGGTTATGGTGGAAGATGCGCAACGCAGAGTTGCTGGGCAGTGGAGACTGACGTCGCATAGAGCCTTGGAGGGGCCCTGGGGGATTTATCGATTCTTGGGTTCAGTTCTGCGTTCGGTGCGTTCTCGGAGGGGGCAGGATAATGTTGATCCTTGCCGCCCGAAGTTGGAGCGGCGCATTCACACACATAACATGCCGCTTAGTGAGTATGGCGCTGTCCGATGAAGAAGCCCTCCTGAAACTGGCGCAGGGTTTTGCTTCGCTGTTAGACCAGAAGAGGGTTGCCAGCGCAGTTCAGGCACAGTTGGCGTGGACAGAATCCAGATGTTTGCTGTGCTTTCATTTGATAGGGCGGAGCTGGAAGCCTTCGCAAAACACGAACTGGGTTTAGACAGGTTGGGGCGGGCAGCAGATGCGGTGCCTATCGCATGTCTCGCGCTGGCTTGGGAAGCATCAAGACAAAGGCTCAAGGTGGCTGAGGAGATGGATGCGCAGGCGTCCTCGTCCCAGGTTCCCAAGCAGGTTCCGGCGAACAAATTCTTGTCGCTGAAATCTGCGTTTGCTGAGGCCTACTACGAACTCAAACATGATGAGACTCCCTCCAAAAGCCGCTTTCGAAGATCTCTGTAACCAACTGGAGAGACTCGACTCCGGCCATGGGCCCTCAAGCAGGTGGCAAGCAGGGAAGATGTGGACACAGATGACTGGGGGCAGTTGCAGGTGGGCAGATCTGGTGCCATGTGTGCGCAACGCTCATCTGTCGGGGTTGCAGCTCCGAAAAGCATGGAAGATTTGCGACGACCGCTTCTGTTGCTGGGGCATCACTTCATCTTCTTGAAGGTGCGGTGTCCATCCCGCAAGCAGCTGGCCAGCCTTATTCCATTTACATTCATGGTTTACGCGCAAGTCTTGTTGGGAGAGCAAGTTGCAGAACTTGAAGCCGCTGATGGGCAGACTGGGGCAGTGGTCCACAACCCGTCTGTGCTCCAGGTAATGAACTGTGGCTTTCGCATTCGCCGGAAGATGGCTGAGTGTTTCAACGAATGGCCGGACTTGAAAAAGGGAACGCTTCTTTGTTGCCCCTTTAGCATTGTCGTCTGCTTGCGCAGTGCCAGACTGCAGCACTTGGTGCGACCGGCCAGGGATGGCCAGGGCCTTATCAGCCGAAAGGCGTCGCAGGAAAGGGAAAGGGCAAGCGGAGACCAGGCAAGGAGGGCAAGCCGCTTCTGGCCGGCGTTGGACAGCCATGGAAAACCCCACAGGTAGTCAGCGTTGCGGACTGGGCGTTGGCCCCAACAGCCGCTCCAAAGTAGCCGCGACCATGCGTTGCAGGGAGGAGAAACAAATCTGAAGTCAAAAGAAAGTGACGCAACATCCTGTAGGAGCCTTTGCTGCGTGTCCTGGACAGACAAATCAAACTGCTCCCCACGCGAGATATCAAATTCGATGACCAGAGGATCTGCCCCGTGCGCGCACGCTATGCGCTTCAAAACAGCGCCCAAACCAGCGCGTCGCTCTGATCCAGCAAAGAGACAGAGGAGCCGCAGCCTATGCGCTGCGTCCGCTTGCCCACTGCTTTTGGAGGATAGTCACGACTGGGGGTTGTCAGCCCCCCGGAACCCCACCCATCCCAGGAGGCTTGTGAACTCTCTCTCTATTCCTCTTCCGGTGTCCTATTTCCTCCCAGTCGCCCTTTGATTTTTACTTGTCTCAACGTCCACTTTTCCAGCTGCGAAAGTGCATGCGCTCCGTTGTGTGCCGGTGCAACCGTGCTTGAGATGCAATTTCTCGCCTTCAATGCTCAATCAAGGCATGAGTTTGATCAAAAATTGATCACGTGAGAGCGTTGGATTTCAACTACAAATCCAACTTGAGTTGGACACAAATTTGCAATTGTATGGTTGCAAGATGAAAGATTTTCCGAGTTCCCGTGGCAATAAAGTCTACCAAACCTTGTGATAACATTGAAGCAATTGCATGTAAACATTGGGTAAGGCCCCAGCCCACATGAATACAAACCCGTCCAGAATTCGAGCTATTCCCAAAAGCTGAAGCGTCGGGTTTCTCTCTCCAAACAGACGGCCCTGAGGAAAAACTGGAGCGGAACACAAACCGGAACGCGGAATGGAGCACGGAACGGAACACGCAGCGGAACACGTAGCGGAACACGTCGCGGAACACGGAGCAGAACAGGGAACGCAGAATAACGCGGAATGGAATGGAATGGAATAGGGAACGGAACAGGGAACGGAGCACGGAACGGAAACAAACATGGAATGAAACGAACGGAACTCCGGAGTGGAACGCGACGGAACGGCACGGTACGGAAGGGCACGGAACGGAAGGGCATGGAACGAGATGGAATGCGACGCAACCAAACCAGAGCGGAGCACAAAATGGAACGGAGTGGAACGGAACACTATGGAATGGCACAGGAGGAAATGGAATGGGCGCCGATAAAAAAACCACAAGAGCACAGCAGGCAACGGAGCGCAACAACAT